AGGATCTTTTGTTTCCATCCAAAGCCATTATTGGATATTTTGAGCTTCTCTTTCATTCAAAGCCAGTATTGAATGTCAGGATATTTTGTTTCCATCCAAAGCCAGTATTGGATATTGTGATCGTTTCTCTCGTCTAAAGCCATTATTAGACGTTGAGTTTCCCCTTCATTCAAAGCCAGTATTGGATGTTGTGATCTTTTCTCTCGTCTAAAGCCAGTATTAGACGTTGAGCTTTTCTTTCATTCAAAGCCAGTATTGAATGTCAGGATCTTTTGTTTCCATCCAAAGCCAGTATTGGATATTGTGATCGTTTCTCTCGTCTAAAGCCATTATTAGACGTTGAGTTTTCCCTTCATTCAAAACCAGTATTGGATGTCGTGCTTCTTTTCTGTCCAGCGTCTTTCCTGGACGACTCTGATGTAGCTTCAGATTTGGTCTCATACTACATCTAATGTTCTTCTAGATGTTTCTGATTGCCTTTTCCAGAGAGTTGTTCGCCTCATTCAATGCCATTCTCGAATGTTGTTGCTTTCCTTCTCGAGTTTTATCTCTTTTTTCCAAGTATTACTGGTTACTCCTTGTCACCCTGACAAATATCCAGAAGTATCTTGTTGCTCCCCGGTGTGTCTTTTCACGTTATTTCATCTGAACTACCACAAATTTCCAGTTTCGAGTCTTTCCATGTTCCCACAGAGTCTGTCTCATCTCATACATCATTCAAAAAAATATATGTAAAAAAAAAAGAGTCCATGCATTCATTCATAACATATGCTATCATCTCATCGCATCAAGGACAAAATTCAGGTCTGTTTGTATTTAATTACTTTCCGCCTATCTGGCTAAAAGATAATTAAATAGGGGCAGCTGTTGTACCCTAAATTTTGCCCCTAACTTTTTCAGTCGCACTTTCATACCATATTTTAGCTTCATTCATCCTATCTTTAAGTTTGCTCTTGTGTTGTTAACTAACTTCTAATCAAAATACAAAAAAAATATTTGTCTTTGTCTTTGCATATTTGTGTTTTGTAGGTACAAAGTCGAAACATCTGACAAATAAGGATTTCTGGTATCATTTTCCTAAAATCTCTATTTTCAAAGAAAAAGAATTAAAAATTTTCATTTTTTTCACTGATGCAATCGATTGCTCTTAGTGTGCAATCGATTGCACATAGTGCATTTTGTGCCATTTTTGAAAAAAGATACTGTGCAAATCGATTTGCACTATAGTGCAATCGATTGCACAGCGTGAAAAATTGAAAAAAATAAACAATTTTTAAACTTGTCAAATTTTTGGCTCCAATTTTCCTTCATTTTTTAAAGATGTATCATTAATTCAGATTTTAGTGCCAATCTTTCATTTTTAAGAAGAATTATCATTAATTCAAATTTTGGCTCTAATATTTGAAAGAATTATCATTAATTCAAATTTTGGCTCCAAGAATCAATTACCAAATTACCACTAATCCCAATCCTAAACTCTATAAATAGAGCCCTCATCTCATTCAAATTGGAAGCTTTTGATAGCCAAATACACCTTGCTAAAAAATCTCTCAATTCTCTCCATCTACCAAATTCACTCAAAGCTCCATTTTCAAAAAGTTAGTAAGCTTTGCATTGAAGTTTACTAATCTTTGAGCTAAACCTTCATCCAAACACTTTTTCTCCATCAATTCTCTACATCCAAGTTTGGTCAATTTATTCTTTTGGTTGAATTGAAGCAAATTCTTGAAGTTGTTTTGATAATTCTCTAGATCTACCTTTGGTAAGTTGGATAATTCATCTTTCACAATGTGATCTCTTGGTGATCTCTGTGATTGATTCTTTGAGCATTATTTTGTGATTTCAATGGTGTTATTTTCTCATAATTTGATGGAATTTTCATGCTCAAGTGGATCCATGATCATAAGGTGTTTGATGGAAAGTTTGAACAAGAAATTGCCCTTTTAAAATGTTGTTTTTGCTACTATTATTGTGTGCAATGGATTTGCACTGTAGTGCAATCGATTGCACATAGGAAATTTCACGCAGATTTTTAAAAACTGTACTGTGTAAATCGATTTACACAATAGTTCAATCGATTTACACAGGGATAGAATGCATTTTTTTGCCTTGTTTTGGGGCAGCTTTGATCCAAAATGATTTTTCTACTCACTCCTTTTGATTGTTGGTTTGGATTGCAATTTTAAATGTCCAATTTGTCTTTAAACTCAATGGACTTTGTGATGTAGATGAAGTTGGATAAATGTTCATAAATTCAAATCTACCTAAGAGTGAATTATTTAATTCATTTTTGGTGCTTTGGATTAATGATATGTTTAGTGCTTTAATCCATCTAGAGGAGTGGTTGAATTTAAAGATGAAAGAATTTTGAAATGGTAATCCAAATTAGATTATCATTCCCCTCCCTCTTCATCTTATCCCTTTCTTTTTTAATTGTGCTACATGTTAAGGGATGGTGATCTCTATATCATTTATCCAAACATGAAGTACATAGATTGCTATTGACCGGCCTCAAAATAGGTGTGACTTCTATATAAGTCCACTTACGATTGCTTAACATAGCGCTAAATTCTGTCCCGATTCGGATAAATGATCATTCGTGGCCCAAACTTATGATTGCAAGCCCAAGTATGTTAATTTGATCTCTTTGATCCAATAACCTTGAGATTCATTGTGTGGAGGCTTTGGTTCTACCAATCCTCTAATGGATCTACAACACCTTTGGTCAACGCGGATCACTTAAACATCGTTGATCATTACATGTTGCCTTGTGAGAATTCCAAAATGGATGATATACTTGACAAAAAGCAAATGCAACTTGTTGTGTGGAGGCTTTGGTTCTACCAATCCTCTAATGAGTTCCAAATGCAAGTTTCAAGATGGTCATCCAACTAACCACTAATTACTAACAATTAACTTTACTTTACGCTTTTATTTTCATGCTTTATGTACCATTTACTTTTAGCATTTTACATTTCATGCTATTTTCATCTTTGCTCACTTGAGCATTTACTCTTATGTCATTTTTATTTTGCTCACTTGAGCTTTTCTCTCTTTTTAAAGACACCTAATAATCAACATGAATCATAAAAATCATTAATGATACTTGGACTACATGGTTACTATCCTTTGCATTATGGAGTGATGGACTTCTTGGACTTAGGATTAGAGACCTTGGCCTATCTTGGAGACTTTGTGACTTTATTTGATATTTTGTCTGGAGTTCTTGAGGTTTACCTCAAGACATTGGGTTTTTTTTTTGTGTGCAGGTTATTGTGATTACATACTTTGTTTGTAATATGGAATTCACCCGTATACAGCTGTTACTCTGCCCAATTTTTGCGAAGACTAAATACACTTGAAGTTTGATTCTCTCAAGAGGTCTAGTATCTTTGCTTGCTTGGTTTCAATCCAAAGAATGGGAATTCTATATTGGCTTATAATGTCAAGTAAAGGCTTCGTGTTGGTTAGACGATTCTCTTCCTTAGCTTTTACCTTATGCTTTAGGATAGTCCCTTCATCTCCTCCCATCTTCTTTAATTTTCAAAACCTTCTCATCTTCTTTCAAAATCTTCTTTGTTTTTAAAATCAAACCGCTTTGATAATAAACCTCGACTTTATCGAGTGCCTTTTCTTTTAAATTTTTTTTTTCTTTAAACAAACTTCAATACACTTAATCATACTTTGACATTTTTTCTTCAAAATTAACAAAACACTTCAACTCATTCAAACTCTTTTGTGCGCCCAAGCACCTTTTCTATTCAAAACTTTTTTTTCAAGGTGATACATGATTCATTGATAGTCGAGCAACATTCTTCTATCCCTATGGTTATAAAGGTGTCGACTTTTCCACTTGAGTACTAGAGGCGTTCTCAAACCCTCACTCTTGTTGACGCAGGGTCCATCTTTCTTACACCTTGTGGGCGTTAGTCGAGATTTCTCTCCTAACAATGACGACTTGTCTCCTTGTTTAAAAACTATCAACAAACAAGTCTTTTCTAGAGGAACTACGTGTACCCTGATCCCCTATTGCACGAAAGGTGGTACGTAGGCACTAAAGGTTCGCAACCGCGGCGGGTGCAAAAATCATAAAAATATTTCTTTTCTCACCTCCACCATCCATTTTATATACAACACATTTTTATAGCCAAAATATACAGATTTTACAAAGAGGTTCCTGCGGAGTACCGTGGATGTTTAGGGTGCTAATACCTTCCCTTTGCATAACCAACCCCCTTACCTTAAATCTTTCCCCCTATTTTTGGGTTATTCGCTCTTTTCCCATTCCTTTGGAAACAATAAAGCGCGGTGGCGATTTTTATTTTGATTTGTATAAAGTCTAGTCAATCCAATGGCTTAGTCTTGAACATTTCTACCGCTACAATATCACACGATAAACCTGTATAAAAACTCAAATCTCAACAAGTAAAGGTGAATTATAAATCTCAAATAATCGGATAATCGAGATTTAATTCTTAACATCAAAATAAGAAAACTAACAAATTTTTATGTTTGATTTATCATGTAGAAACTAAAACAATTAGAAGAAATCAACTAAACAATATTTAAAAAAAAAGAATAAAATATTAACTAACAAAATTGATTATTCACAAATTTTCTAAACTAATTTTAAAACTAAGAAAGTTAAGAAAACTATTTAGTTAGAAAACTATGTTATTATAATTGAGATTAAAATTTAAACCTAAAGAATCAAGAAAATTATTAAACAAGACAAAATTACATAGACTCAATTAAAATAACAAACAGGGGGTGCATATGGAGTAAGGGCATCAGGCCCATGCTGCAACTTTTTGTCATGCTATCCTTAGGCTAAAAAAAAAGATGAATCAGCGGGCTTAAAAGAGAGGATTCGTTCCAACAACCTCCATTACCCAGATCCATCATCTACTTTAATTCTTTATCTCAGCATATATATAACAAAAACAAATAACAGTATAAAAAAAATTAAACTAAAAATAAAAAGGGATTAGGGTAACCAAATGTGGCTCTCCATCTCCCTCGCAGCACACACAAAAATTCAACCTCCTTCCCTTCGCTTGCGACGGCTACCGGAGCCCCTCCATCTCAACGTCGCCGTGACACTATCACCACAAACCTCTTCTTTGATTTTTTTCATTTCTACCACTTGGATTCCATTATCTTCAATGTCGTGCCATTACTCGCACCTCTCGCGGTGGCTCGATCTCTTCCCGCTTCTCACCGCTCTCTTCTTCATTCGTTATGCTCTTCTGATCTTGCCTTCGAACCTCGAGGCTGATAACAAGAACAACTGAGCAAGGTTGAAAACAGAAAAATGATGATTTACCTATCAGAGAGCTCCGACGGTGCTTCAATTGCGATGCTAGAGATCCAGAGATGAAAACTCAGGTTCGTTGTGGCTTTCACTTCACTTCTTCTTTGACCCCTGTGTTTTCCTTCTTGTTTGTATGATGCGTTGCCACTTGCTGCAGTAAAATGACGTGGAAGAGTGAGGATGCTTGAAGTTGCGGACTGTTTTTGATAATGAAGATGTAATGATGAAGATGCTTGCAGAGGTGTAAAGGCGTTGAAGATCTTCAGAGAGGAAGAATATGCGAGTGTTGCAGGTTGCGGACGAAGTCGCAGTGAAATAGAGATGAAGACTGAAGATTATTGTAATAAGACTATGTTGATACAGTCGCGTGGATGTTGCAGAATCGATGCGATGATGGTGATGGTTCTGCATAGGGAAGCAATTACAGAGAGACGCCGTGGTTGAAGATTGAACAAGAGAATAGAAGAATAGAGAGGAATTTCATAGAGATTTTTTTCTGGTCTTTTTGGTGATTCCGCGGAATGAATGATGAAATCCCCCCTGAATTGGTGAGTTTTGTTTCTATCTTATACTTCTGTCAGTATTGGAGATGGTTAGAGTATTTCTGTTATTTTTTCTGTTATCATGGGAAACAGTTAGTTAGAGTTGTTTTAATCTGAGCCATTGATTAGGAGAATTAGTTAGAAGAATAGACGGGAGAGATTAAATTGGTTAATAGCTGTCATGAATTCTGTTAGAAGCTGCTGAGTTGCATAATTGTCTTCACGATTTTTTCATATATTTTCCCTGATAATTTCCTTTTTCTAATATTCTAAAGTAACTTGGTTGTGAATCCAATTTCATCAGGTCTGAAGCATTTCCTGATATTCTAATATACTCCATTTGTATTTTCTGGTTTATGTTGAAGTTAAACAAGAAGCTGTGAGGGTTTTAGGCAGGGGCTGGATTTCTGAGTTGGAACTGAACTATATTATTGGAATGATGTCGTTTTGATATAGCTTCTGAGTTAATTTTCTGTTTCTGGAATAGGGAAGCATGATCACGGTTTTAAGATAAGCTAATGAGGTCATGATACGATGAACTGGTTTATGAACGGCAAGCTTAACTGATTCGTGCTCCTGATTTTTCTGATATTAATGTGTTGCTCTGTTCTTGTTAGTTTCCATGGATTGGTTCAATATGAAATCCCTTTTTTATTGATTATTTGCAGGGCGATTTCCAAGTGTCCAGAAGGGTTTATGTTGAAGCAATATAAAGATTATGGTGAAGATGTGAGGTCAAACAGTTGGATTTCGTGAAAGACATATCAATATTAGGCTTTGGTGTTGTGTAGGATTTTTATAGTTTCTTTTGTAACATGATGGTAAAGTTGTAATGGAAATGTTTTGAATGTCATATTGTATTGCAATGTAGCATAGAATTGGTTAAACTTGTAATGTAACTTTGAGAATTCAATGATAATTTCTTCAATGTACCTTTCTCTTCTAAATTTATTTTGAAGTTCCAAGTTCTTTTCCTCCAATATTTTCTTTAAACGGCTTTGTATGAATTCAAATAATCATGCCATGAATCCAAAATATTTGCAAGGTAATCAAAAAGAGACTTGAATCTTTAATGAGTTCTTGAATGACTATTTGGGTGACACTTTGATTGTTGGATGAAACAAGTGAATTTGATACATGCCTTTTTATACTTGCAACTTGAATTCTAAGAAATCTCACACAAATATTTAAGAACTTTTATTCACTCCAAATCCTCTTCAAATCTTAATGAATGAATTCCAATCAAATTACAACTTCAATGAATCCCTAATTCAATTCAATTCCTCAATCTAAACAAAACTTGTGTTTCAAGTAACAAGCATTTGAAATAATGACGCCTTGAGCATAATGGACCTTCAAACTCAACACCTTGTATCATGGTTCAACAGTGGTCTTAACACAACAACAAAGCCTTGAGGAAATCTGGATAATGAATATGGGAATATGGAAGATAGCTTTGACTTGAAAATCCAATGATCCTCAGTTGAATATTAACAAAACTCCACCATGATAAAACATAAACCTTGACAACTTACAACCCTCATCCACACGCTTCCTGAAGTAACTTGGAAGATAGCTTTGTCTGGTTTCGAGCTTGGACACTCGCCTTGCAATTTTGAATGAAACTCGAGCTATGCCTTGAAATTTCTCGTAATCATGAACAAATATTCCATCCTTAGAATGTGTAACCATTTACCAAACTTGAATTAAAATAAATACTTGAATGGACCTTGAATGCACATGCCTTGCAAATTTGAATTGGAATTTGTGATTTAGTCTTTGATTTAGAAATAGACCATGAATGAATTACTTGTACTTTAAGAAACTTGGATTATCTTGACAAGTCTTCAATTCCAAACCTCAATGACAAATTCAAATTAACTAGAGCCCCTAACTTCAAATTCCAAATTATCTTGTCTCATCGAAGTCCATGCCCCTGATGAATCTTGTAGAAGATAAGGCTTGAAGTATATAGAAAACATGATCACTGAACTTTTAAACCTCAGGGTATTCTATTGAATGAAATGTATGTCATGTTAGTGACCTAATGGAATATATGCAGATGAATGCGAAGGTCTAAGCCAAATAAAAGAATAAATTAGGAGGGAAAATTTTGGGGTGCAACAACTGCCCCTATTTAATCTTCTTAAGCGTGAAGGTGAGATTGGTGCTAGTCTTTCGAACATTCAAGGCAGAAGAAGATTAAATACTAAAAGAACCCGAAAATTTGCACTCCGAAGCCAGTTAGGTATTATTATAACTTTTTTTTTTGTATTTTCTATTTTTTCGGCTCTTTTTTTTTTTTGCAATAGTTATCTGAGTAAATCTCTTGGACATCAAGTCAAGGTTAGAAATACACAAGAAAGAGACCGACCGGAGAAGGCTCTTACAAAGGGACGTCAGTCGAAGGCGAACTTACCGGAGGAAAGTGAACGTCGGGCAAAGACGAACCTTAATTAACAAAAAGGGACACCGGGCGAAGGTGGACCTAAGATGGAAAGACATCGGGCAAAGGTGAATTCTGTAGGAAAGAGAACGTCGGGCGAAGACGAACCTTAATCAACAAAAAGGGACATCGGGCGAAGGTGGACCTAGGATGGAAAGACACTGGGCGAATGTGAATTCCGGAGGAAAGAGAACGTCGGGAGAAGACGAACTTTGACCGACAAAAAGGGACACTGGGCGAAGGTGGACCTAAGATGGAAAGACATCGAGCGAAGGTGAATTCTAGAGGAAAGAGAATGTCGGGAGAAGACGAACCTTAACCAACAAAAAGGGACACCGGACGAAGGTGGACCTAAGATGGAAAGACACCGGGTAAAGGTGAATTCCGGAGGAAAGAGAACATCGGGCGAAGATGAACCTTAACCAACAAAAAGGGACTCCGGGCAAAGGTAGACCTAAGATGGAAATACACCGGGCGTAGGTGAATTCCAGAGGAAAGAGAACGTCGGGCGAAGATGGACCTTAACCAACAAAAGGGGACACCGGGCGAAGGTGGACTTAAGATGGAAAGACACTAGGCGAAGGTGAACTTACCAAAGAAAAGAGAATGTCGGGCGAAGACGAACCTTAAAAGGAAGAAATACCAACGGGAGGGGACTCTAAACAGGGATTGCTAACATGCGTTAGGCTTTAAAAGTTTGCAAATACGTAAGAACTACGAAATCTCTCAGGACAAAGGTGGGGTGTAATTCTTCAAGAGTCGTAATTATCTGAATTACCACACACCAAGTATGGATACTCAAACACTTGAGAAGCAAGAAAGGCTATACACCGACTCTTACTCGTATTCTAACAACAAAGCAAACACAGGTAAAATAATCAAAGGCTTGCAAGGGAAAGCTCAAACCAAAACTTACTGGGGATTCCCATATGTATTGAACCCAAACAGAATGCCGATCAAAGGCGGACTTGCGATTAGAAAAAGAGACCAACTGTAAGGACTCTAAACAAGGATTGCCAACACGCATTGGGCCTTAAGAGTTTGCGAATATGCAAGAATTACAAAATCCCTCAGGCCAAAGGCGGGGTGTAATTCTTCAAGAGTGGAAATTATCTGAATTACCACACACCAAGTATGGATACTCAAATACTTGAGAAGCAAGAAAGGCTATACATCGACTCTTACTCGGACTCTAACGGCAAAGCAAACATGGGTAAAAAACCAAGGGCTTGCAAGGGCAAGAGAAAACCATGACTTACTGGGGAAATGGAGAAATACCAAAGACCCGATTGGTGGTGAATTAAATAGACTCCATTAGGGAAACAAAATAGAGTCACCCTAGGATTGATGTGGAGATAATTCAAATCTGAGTGTATAACAATCTGGTTACCACAGGTGGGCATAATTGGCTTATACTTATGCATGTTTCAATTTTTTAGCGTAATGTTCCATATAATGGAAATGCTACGCATTTGGGTAGATGCAATGTAATGATGCATGTTTAGTAATGCACTAGGGAAATCACGTTAATAATCGGCTGCTTAAAAGATAATGAATTTCCAAACAATTACTCTTACGCCTCTGATCTTCTGTAGAGAAAAGGCAATCTGGACTTCAATGGGGAACCGAGATTCGAAACCACCAACCTCTAAAGATCGATAACATTAGGGAAGTAACTTTCCGAAGAGAAATACTGCAAAAATAAATTAAGTTCTGTGAAAATCTTAAATTTTAATCAAACTCTCAACCTCCTGGGGAACAAAATCTTTATCCTCCGTTAGAAAGAGAAGAGCTTCGTCGGGGATGGAGAATTTTCTCGCGTAGAATTTCTTAACGAAGACAGCTTCTATTGGGGAGTATAGAAATTCTTAAATAAAAATAATTCCAACCAGACCACACTGGGGATAACATCGTTGGGGGGTAGAAAGATCTTCACTTGGGGAAGAAACAAATGTCTTGGGACAAAAACTCCACTGGGCATGTCTTCAACAAAATATCACCGAGGATGAAAGAGGTATGGTTGGCACTCCCATATACACCACTTGGGGAGACAGGACACTTACTCCACTAGGGGGAGAAAGTTTGCTCCACAGGGGAATGATAGATAAGTTACTCTGGCAGGTCCTTGAAATTCGACTTCAACTGGGGACAAAGACTGCCTCATACACTGGGGAGCCAAAAAAAACTTTAGATGGTAACATCAATGTGATACGGTGGGAGAACTGACTTGATGTTTTGCGTTTGTTTTCGCACTTGTTCGGTTTAGCAAGAGTCGCCACCGACTTTTTATTTTATCCTAAGGAAAGGTCAAAAATCACAGGAAAAACCTTTGAGACGTTTTCTCGGGTTCGGGGGGTAGATTATGAAAAGGGAAGGTGCTAGCACCATTTTCATCCATGGTTTTCCATGGGCTCTTAGTTATT